TTTCTTTCATATAAAACATATAAGAAGTTCCAAATACTTCCTCAAAATATGATTTTCCTCGACGCAGAAAAGGCTTGTTCCTTTTCCAAACACTTGAGTTTTTATTTATAAGTGTGACATGTTGAATTACGAACCATAAAATTTCCATATTAATCAAAATCATAATATATTGAATTTGATGGTGTTTTGTATTTTGATTCGTCTTAATACGAGTGTCTTTTTAGATGTTTATCTAACATATAATATACCTAATATTACGTATTTCCCACATGTGTTAAGTTAGCATATGCAAGAACTTTGACAAAAAATTGGAAATATGTAATGTAGCTAATTGGTTATTTGAAAGCCACTCCATGTCTAGGAATCTTTTTACCCAAAGATATCAATCTTTATCTAGTTTCCTATTGTGATCCAACGTGAGAATCATGTATTATTACTCGTCGATTGGTCTCTAGTTATCTCATGAAGCTTGGATCAACTTTAGTTTCTTGGTAGACAAAAAATCCAAAAATTGTGTTTAGATCCTCAAGTGTAGCAGAATATTATGCCACAACACATACTACCTGTAACGCCCCTGACTGCTTTAAGGATTACCGACTGACCTTATAAACCAACACGAGTCTTTTCAGCATGTTTTGTCCTCACTTACATGCTTTACGAGAAACTTCCCAGAAGGTCACCCATCCCAAGATTGCTCCAAATCAAACATGTTTAACTGTGGAATTCTTATGGAATGGGTTACCGAAAAGAAGATGCATCTTGTTGCTATAGGTAGTACCAATTTATCCTTATAAGCTTTCCTTCAACCATGCATTCCCATACCTACATAGTCTCAGGATCCCTCTCATTCCGATGTAATTCGATTTTTCCCTAGAAGTCGCTAGGAGTGTCTCATTGTCATGCCTCGTGCACCGACAACCACTCTTCGCCAAGCTGCTAGGAGTGTCTCATTGTCATGCCTCGTGCAACGATAACCACTCCCTCGCCATCGGGTGTTACGTGTAACCACTCTCCTCCCTCTTCAGCCTCGGGTGTTACATGCCCACCAGATTCCGCTTGGTTCGTCCCAGAACCACATCATACTGGGAGAGATCTAGCTCTGATACCATTTGTAACGCCCCTGACTGCATTCAGGATTATCGACTGACACCACAAACCAACACGAGTCTTTTCAACATGCTTTGTCTTCACTTACATGCTTTCCGAGAAACTTCCCAAAAGGTTACCCATCCCAAGATTGCTTCAAGTCAAGCATGATTAATTGTGGAGTTCTTATGGAACTAATTACCAAAAAAAGATGCATCTTGTTGGTATCAATTTATCCTTATAAGATTTCCTTCGACCATGCAGTCTCATATATGCATAGTCTAAGGATCCCTCTCATTTCGATGTGAATTCAGTTTTTCCCTAGAAGTCGCTAGGAGTGTCTCATTGTCATGCCTCATGTACAAACAACCACCCCCCACAACAAGCTGCTAGGAGTGTCTCATTGTCATGTCTCGTGCAATGACAACCACTTCCTCACCACCGGGTGTTACATGTAACCAGTCTCCTTCCTCTTCGACCTCGGGTGTTACACTACCAGCAAGATCATTTGGTTGTGCACCCTTATTTCTTCATTACTAGAATTTATAATGCCACAACTTTTCATTATGATAATCATGTTACTTTACATATAACAACTAACCAATCTTCCACAAGTGCACAGGTCACACATAAATTGATTGACATTCTGTCTAAAAACATTTATAGTCACACAAAAAACATCTATAGTTTATTCCTACTTGGCGACCTTTAAGACAATATCAACTAGTAAAGTATCGGTCGATGATAAAGATAACCTAATTTCAACACTAAACTTGGTGAACGATTAGATTAATGGATCATAAGATAAATTAAGGAGATCAAAAGATAGGGGTACAAGACTCTAGGAACATCTTAAGTTATGGCCTAAGGATACTACCGATCAAATCTGTGACCGGATAAAGATTGACAAATGACATAACGAGTAATATTATGATCTCTGCCTTGTGAGAAAATATTGTATAGCATATTCATGACTCTCTCAATGATATTCTTATCTTGTTGTCTAACTGTTTATCACATCTAGTGTTTGATAACTTCTTTACGATGGTTCTCAAAATTTAAGTTTAGAGTAGAGTCAAACCAAACCTTCTTGGTCTAAAAAGAATATAGAAAAGCATGATCAAGTGTTTCTTCATGCTTAAGGTACATGAGATAAAAGATGGGGCACCTAACCACTCTTTTAATAAGCTCACTACTCATAAGAATAACCCAATTAAGGATTCTCCACACAAGGGACTTAACTCTAGGAATAAAGTCAATACTTCAAAAAAGTTTATGGATGGTAGTCATCTCTCTATAATAGACTTTGATGTAAGATAGAATCTTTGTTGATAAATATTCTCCAAACAAAATAAAACAATATGCTTGTTAGATTTTTTTTAAATCTAAAAACTATTTTAAATAAGAAATTTTTCCGAGTAGTTTGTCTGTCTACAAACTGTTTGTTTCATTTTTTTAATAAATTTTATAATATTACATGTTTTTGTGTAAAAAAGGTTTACAAAGAATTTTATTTTTATAAAAATTTTAAATAAAAAATTGATTTAAATTTTTTCATAAAATGTTGTTTTAGTTTTTATTAAACTTTTTTTAAAAATCAAAATTTTAAAAGATTACTTAAATTTGAGGCTCTTTTGAATAACTTTTCATAAAAATGATTTTAAGATATATCTTTTTATTAAACTATATGATTTTGATTATATTTTAATATTTAATTATGTATATTTATGTTAATAGATATTAAAATTTTAAAAATTAATTTGAGTTTGAATCACTTTTGAATATCTTTTTATAAAAATAATTTTAAAGATATATCTTTTAAACAAAATTATGTAATTTTGAGTATGTATTAATCTTTAATTATGTATATTTATATTAATGGATATCAAAATTAGTCTTTTAATATATATATATATATATATATATATATATATATATATATATATATATATATATATATATATATATATATATATATATATATATATATATATATATATATATATATATATATATATATATATATATATATATATGTATATATATATATATATATATATATATAATGTTTAAAACACTTTTAATATATTAGAATAAATTTTTTTAAAAACCATTTAAAAAAATAAAAAATAAAAATATTATTTATAAAAAAATCATTTTTAAATTTCATTATGGTAAATAAACACAAAATAAATTATGATATTTAAAAATAAAATAAACCTAAAAATTGCTGAATATTACCTTACTTTTTTATAATGTATAATAAAGTGGCTTTGATTCTAAAATATTTTGCGCATTAAAATTATTACTTTTTTATTAAAAAATATTAATTATTTTTTCTTTTATAAAAGAATATTAAATATTTTTCTTCTAAATATTATTAGTTTGTATACATCAAGTTATTTTTTGGATGTTTATAATTTTTGTATAATAGAGTATAAGATTCACATAACTTTTTTTATAATTTGATTTTGTATTTTCGATGAATCCAGATCATCACACTAACTAAATGTTGTCAAAATAATAATTTTTTTAATGAAAAAGGTAAAATAAAAAGAATTTAGGTTCTAGATTGTCGAATTTTTTCACATTCTTGCAGCTATGATATTAGTTATTTGATTTTAATCAAAGGGCTAAAAAAACATTAGAGTTAAATTTTACTTCATAGATAAATATGCTTTTAGTTACTACAAAATCATTAAATTTTAAATTTAGTATTAATTTAAATATAATTTTAATACTATAATTTATAATTTAATTCACTTTACTTTAATATACGTAAATATAAATCATTTTATTTTTAAAAAATAATTCACATAAAATAGATTTTTAATCATCGCATAGTCAAATACAGACTATGTGGCATTCTCATATATATATATATATATATATATATATATATATATATATATATATATATATATATATATATATATATATATATATATATATATATATATATATATATATATATATATATATATATATATATATATATATATATATATATATATATATATATATATATATATATATATATTTTCTATTTTTAATTTATAATTTAACATCTATATATAAAATATAAAAATATGAATACATTTAACTCTTGCTATAATACATTTTTTTCCAATTAAATATTATGCTTAATAAAGTGTATTTCTTCTATATTCTACTACACTTGTACTCCACCATAGAGATTTTACTATTATTTTTAAATATTTTAATATTTATAATTTTTGACTTTATAATGCATTTTCATATCACATTTTTTAAAATAATTCTTCCTACCTTTTCTTTTTCTTTGAAAATATCATATTATTTTAATTTTTATAATTTATAAATGAAATAATAATAATTATTAAAAAATCAAAGAAAAAACGATGATGCCAATTTAATAATATCAATTTTGATATGTTAGAATTAAGATTTACAAATTATAAAAATATAAAATTTTACACAAATTGATAGTGAAAAGGGTAACATAGTAAATTACACACAAAAAATCAAAAAGTAGAAAACAATAATAATTAATACCAACACGGTTTCTGCCAACAAATGGCAACAAGTCCACAGCAACTATACAAACAAAAACACAAAAAAAAAGAAAAAAAAACGAAAATTCGAAGAAAGGTTCGCATGAAAAAATCCCCAAAATTACGGAACTACCACCTTTCTACAATATAAATAAACAATACGCCACTCATTTTCTCACACAATTACAATTCCAATTCCAATTCTACTAAAATTACTCTCATTCTCTCTCTATAACTTTCTCTCTCTAGAAATATAAATGTCTTTCATCTTCTTATAACACAAACCTTTTATCCTATTTCGTTTTCTCTTTCATTATTTTCTTTTCTCTCACCAAAAGCTTATCCGAGAGAAAAGAAAATAGGGTTTTCCGTTTTCTGAAGATGGCAAAGTGGGTGGAGATTATGGATCAAGGTGCGAGGATCGTGTTGAGATCTTATTCAAACTGTCCTCAAACAGGTCGGAAGTTTTATCATCCTCCGCCTCATTCTGACATCGGCGAGAATCACGCTCATGGAGGCGGCGCCGCCGTGAACGGCGGCGGCGGGAAATCGGGGTTAGGGTACGGTGGGAGTGGGTTTGATGTTATTCTTTATTCCGTTTAATTACGAGAAGTTTTGATTCCTTCCATTGTAATAGGCGATTTTAGGGTTTTCTTTTATTAATTTCAATTAATCTTGGATATTTAATTTATGTTTTTATTTAATTGTTTTTATATAGTGATTCTCTGCGTGTTCTTGTGTTTACTGGGTTTTGAGAATTGGAATTAATTCTCGGCGTGTTTTGGGAGTTTTTGTAATTTTGATTTTTTTTTTATGACGGTAGAGAATATGCGGAATATGCGGAGAGTTGAAAAAGGGTTGATGTGAAATTGGGAAATAAAAACGTTAGGTGAGGCCTTTTCAAACCAATTTCAATGGTGTTTTAAAAAGGAGTTTTTTTTAATATAAAATTTTTTTTTAGGCAAAAATATACTTAAGTCTTTAAATTATTATTTTTTTAACAAAGCAGTCTTTTATGTTTTTCCTGCTATAGCGTGTAAATTATGTAAATTATGATAAAATTTTAAATTATTTTAAAATAAAATAAAATAAAAAATAACATGACATTAAATTATGAAATTTGATTAGTTAAAATATCAGTACCCAATTAAATTAAATGGTAGCATAGTGTTCATCTTTATTTAAAATTTTATTAACTATAATTAATAAAGATATTTTAATAAATAATATTAATTTTATTAATAAAATTAATCTATTGAATTATTTTATAAAAAAAATCGTAGTTCAAATAATATCAAAAGAAAGTTAAGTTTTCTAAAAAGAGAAAGATACATGTGGAGGGGATCAATCCTTAAATTTCAAACTTAACAAGTCATACTTCTTCCGTCCCATGTTGGATGTGTTATTTATTATAGATGGAAGAAAAATTGCATTGAAAATATAGAGTGACTTATAATTTAGGATTTTTTTTTTTACAAAATGACTTATAATTTAGAATGAAAGAAGTAATTTGAAAAATCTTATTTTATGGATGAAGTCTTTTGTCGCAGTGAGAATTGGATAGCAAACTATTGATTAACTTGAATCACAAATCTTTAGTACTCTATAGGAATCTCGTGAATGTATTTGTGTTATTGTTTGCTATTTGCTTTGAAATGTCTTATGTTTGGGTCTTATTAGTGAGGATAAGAATCTAAGGGTTTATTACTAAGTATGTTCGCTAAAACTTCGTGGTCATGTGCCTACATCCTTATAAGGATGGAATCAGAGCTTTTGTAGTTCACCTATCTAGGGATGAATGAACACTTTGATTATGATCAAGGTTCAAAGCGGGAGGCAAGTGTTATAGTCTTAACACTTACATGACTTAACAAAGTCAAAAGAGTTGTAAATTCTACCCTAAGTCTAAGTTGAAAGACTTAATGACTTTAACAAGGTCAAAGGGAAATTGAATATTGTTAAAACTACCTATGACATTAAATCAATGAAGTATTTTTTTCCTTGGATTTTGGAAACAAAAGGCAACAAAGGAGGATGAAAGCTAACAAGCTAACATCACTTGGGAAATAACTTGACAAAGTTAAAAGCAAGTATGGACAAAGGATGAGATGAACAAAGATGATGTTCAAACATGATATCAATTGTAAGTAATAAAGATAACATTCAAACATGATGTTAAATGATGAATTAAACAAGGTATGACAAAGTTTAAAGTGAGAATGGTAACAACCAAAACACTAGGGTAGATGTGACAACATCTAAAATAAAGACTTAAACAAAGTCACAAAAAAGATCAAGGTAACAACCAAGAACACATTCAATGTTTGATGAAGTTACAAATCATCATGGTGACAACCAAGGTAAGTACATACAAGCAAAGACATTACAACATTTAAACATACACGAGGTATAGTTCTAACAAGACTAAAGCATCATGGATGTAAACAAGAATTCAAATCAATCATGAATATAACAATATCAACATGGTATCATGGATGACAAGTTCAAGTACACAGTTAGGGCAAGCATGGATTAAAGTTTACTAACACCACTTAATCATGAATACAAGACAAGTATAGACAAGTTATAACAACACTTAATCATGAATACAATTTTACCATGAACAAGTTGTAACAACACTTAATCATGAATACAATTTAATGAACCAAACATGGAAAAGTTGTAACAACAGTTAATCATGAATACAAAACAATCATGGACAAGTAAGACATGTATAAGTCAAAACATTACTTAAGCATGCATAAGATTCAAAAGTTCAACAAGACATAGATAAGTCAAAACATTACTTAGGCATGTTATTGTTCAAAGATTTCAACAAAGCAAGTATAAGTTAAGATATCACTTAAACATTGAGATATATTTGTACATGGTTCAAGATATAGGCGACAACCTAGGGTATATGTGAGGGTTCTAAATGATCATATCAAGGGTTAAAACAATCACAAAGATTAGTTTATGGTAAACATACAAGTTATGTATCATGTAAAAACATGTCATTAAAGTCAAGGCCAACTTATGAACGTATAAACAAAGAAGGGTAATCACAAGGGTTTGTATACATACAAATGTTAATTTAGGTATGAATGAATCATGGCAAAAGTTAAGAGAACAAGTTCAAAACTATACATGAGAGGCATGACATTTAACATGGTAAAGAATACATTCAAATACCATAAAATCAATTATATTCAAGGCAAACATATTATTAACATATTACAAGGTTCAAAAATGATACACCTCACTCATACAAGTCAACATGGCTAAGAGAAAACAAGAAAAAAGTCAAAGAAGTCAACTAGGGGACCAAGATAAATCCTTAAAAAGTCATAACTCTAACTACACATAAGTATGTGAAAAATAAATATTTTATGGAAATTCAAAATACAACAATAAAATAGGTATTGCCATGAACAAGTAGAAAAAAGAGTGGCTAAAAAATGTTAAAGGATAAAAGAGTTATGAGCCTTTGAAGTTGTGAAGAAAATAAGAAAAACAAAGCATTAAAAAAGAAGGAAACAAGCTTGGGAGGGCTTGAACCCAGGTCTAGTTGGTTATAGGTTAAAACCTTAACCAAATGAGCCACGCGCGTGCCTTGTACAACATGTGGGAAGTGAAAAAAAAAAAAAAAAATATATATATATATATATATATATATATATATATATATATATATATATATATATATATATATATATATATATATATATATATATATATATATATATATATATATATATATATATATATATTAATTGATTCTAAATGCTTCACAATTTACGCACAAAAAATAGCAAAAAGGTCATCACTGAAGATCGAATCCATGACATAGAGCATTTTGGGCAAGACAGGGCAAAGTTACCACCACTGGGGTGGCCAGTACATCCCGTCATAGGATGGAAACAAAGGAATATAAGGTAAAACAAGTCCCAAAGATCAAAAAGGCGCCATGGCCATCTTGCTGCAGCTGAACATCATCATTTTCACCATTTGCAAAACTCACCCTATCTCACTCAATACTCCATGAAATGCAGTGAAACAAAAATGAAAATTGTGTATTTTTTTGACAAGGAATTCAGTGGTGCGATTTAAATTATCTAATTTTACTTCTAACTCAAAACACGATACCAAAAATTCAAAAATCCCAAGTTTGCATTTTCAATGGTATAGTCACATATATTGATGATAAATGGCAACTAATGATTTGAACAGAACATAAACATCATAACAAACAACTTTCATGTTTAATGCACATCAAAATACAACATGGTTCAATGAGTTCAAGATTTTAGTGAAGTAACCTCTTCAGGAAAAACTTGAAAAAACTCCAAAAGATGTTACAGAAACCCAATGTTGATTTTAACAACTCCCTTTAACCTCCTAAGATCTTTATGAATGCTTAGAATCAATTATAATCACTTGGAACAAATTGTGCCTTCCTTCTTGCAAAATAAGGAAAATGAGAGAATGGAACTTCAAGTAAATGAAGTTACAGTTGAAAACCAAGGCTTGGAGCAACTTAAGACATGTTGGTGGATTGATTTTGAATGATCAAAGTGATTAGAAAGGGGCAGGATAAAGATTTGGCTTGGAAAATGCAGAAAGTCAATAAAGCTTAATGTGAGAGTTGACTTTTTGATTTCTAATGTTTTTGATGAATGTGGTGGTTTGGACACCCTTATGAGGTGTTTTTTTGGTTTGTGTGAATGATTGGATTGGAGGTTTTGTGACTAGAAAAGGTTTTAGGTGAGTTTTTGCAAAGTGAATTTTTTTGACTTCAAGTGGTAACTTAAATCCCAGTTCTGATATGAGAGAGCTTTAAGATGCTTTGAGGTGTTTTTGTTATGTTTTTTGAGATTTGAGATGGTCCCCTATTTAGAATGCAAGGTCTTGGAGTTTTTGCAAGTTGGTTTGGTTGGAAGTGAACCAAGTGGTTCCATACAAGATCATGGTTTAAATGCGCAAGTACAAGGCTTTTCTAAAGTGGTTGGAACTTCATAAGCATTTCTTATAATCAAGGAAAAGGTTGAGTGCAGAAAGAACAAGTTAGAAGCTCAAGACAAGTTAACTTTGTGATTAAAGTCACTTTATCAAAATAGCAATGTGAACTTTCTTCCCAAAATGGCACGATTCATTGAACAAAGCCTTAAACACTTGGATAATGCACTTAGGGTTTGTGTAAACACTCAATTATATGAATCTTTAGAAGAAACATAACCTGCAAGACCAGATTGAATAGGTTTTGTAGAGATTTACTCCAATTTTGGCATGAGTAATGACCTATAATTCAAGTATGGAGGGCCAACTTCATTCCTTAGAAACTCATGGCTCAAAAATGAGATCAATGATTTCTTGTACTCTTTGGAAATATAGAAACATGCTCTAAAACTGTCATGCTTTACGTTTTTCTTGATTCTCAATGGATCATAAAGAAAGCTGGCTCCAAAGTTTGGCACTTTTTGAAAGTTAAAACTGTCTTGAAATTTTTCTAAGTGTGAGGCCTTTTATCACTCACTTGATGACTTTATAACTCAAAATCCCTTCACTTTTTAGAGATTAACCCTCATTGACAAAGTTGTATTATG